GATGAATGAATTACATAAGTAGATAAAAAGGAAAAGAAGAAGTTACACTATAGGGAGCCTGAAGCAGGCCCAATTGATTTCCCAAGACCTCCAATAGCCACAAATGCCAATTTCATAGACAATATCATTGTCTAGGTGCGTCAGAGTTCCCTAAGGATCTCAAGAATCCCCGAGCAGTGCTCACACCTAGACTTTGTAACCAAATTGAGTAAGTGCAGCGCGGAAGGGCCAGCCTCAATGTGCCAGAGTTCAGAGGGTTCTCAAGAGGATCCCAAAGTAGTACACACACTGGAGGGGGCAGAACCTAGTGACTTAGGAGTAAAGTGAGAGTGCTTGACACAATTTGAAAAAGGTTTCAGTAGGGAAACAGTGTTAAGAGAGTTTTGCTTGAAATAATTTTGTAAAAATACATAGGGAGTTATTGAATAAGACAATTTAGAAAAGGATAAGGTGACCAACAATCAATCAGACCAAAATACAGAACTAGAAGGAGTTCTATCAGCACTTCTAATACATGGAATCAAACAGGTACACACATCCACTCAAGGGTAATGGGGATTTGGGGTAAGCATAGGGCTACATAATAAGCACAGATAGCACATAGGTTCAGAACTCAGAGGACTTAAAGGGTCAAGGGCTTTTTAGAGTAGCATGAACTCCTAGAGTTAATACAGAATCATAGCTTAGATAGCCAATTACTCATACAGGAAGGGTCATGCAAGAATCAGGAGTAACATTATCACCATTTGGGGCACACTAGAAGGGATCCTAAAAGGGGTATATAGGCAGCAACAATGAAGACATGAATAGACATGTAATTGCAAAGTTGAACAACAAACCATAGATTAGAAAGCTCTTAGAAAACATACAAATTGATAGTAATAGGACAGAAGATAGTTGGTGGGCACTTGAATTAAAATCAGGACATACCGTAAGGGGATAGTTAAACACAAAGTGAACAGAAGACCAGCAGTTAGCCTTGGCTTGCAACCGGCTGACTTTAGACAGTAGGTAGCTACACAAAAAAGAGCAGAAAGCTTTAGGTGTAAGAATGGAGTTTTGGAACCACGTCTCGTGTCCTTGGTAATAAGAAGTATGTATATTATAGTTCGAACAGGTAAAATAAGGCAAAGGAATCACAATAGTATAGTAATTATGGAATCAGAACCCAATTAGAGCAAATTATACACGACTCCTTAATTAAGAATCGTTTCAAACGGTAAAAAAGTAACAATTAAGGAAAGAATTCAATGTGACGAACAATAAAGGAAAGATTTCAAATATATTAAGTATAGGTAAAAAAATTAGGGCTAAGTTCAAAAAACTCTAATTAAAGGAGATAGTTAGTATAATAAGTACCAATGCGACAGTAGAGCATCAATCAAATTGAATAGAAAGGGTAGGAATCGAAGGTTTAAAGGAAGGAATATCCAATCAAACCATTGAAAACAGGGATCCAGAATCAATCAAGGAGAAAGTCATGAGTCAGTGTTTTAGCATATAAATAGAGTAAGATAGGAATAATCCAGACATAGCAAGCAAAGAGGCCAAGTCTGAATAGTCAAGGATAACACAAACACATAGAGTTTGATGAAGCTAGGCTAAAAACTCCAGTAAGAAACTATTCGAGCGACGATAGTCACACGAAACTCAAACAGAACAGGCAGTAAGAAACCAAAACGAAAAACCTAGAAAATCAGGGCTTTCAAACATACACGAGTTAAAGATGTGATAAACTCATAGAATCAGTAAAATAATACAAGAAATAAGTTTAAACACAAAGAATCAGTTAAACCAATTTGTAAAAGAAGTTCTGAAACCCTTATTTTAAAGAAGGTGAAAAATACTTGAAATCAACGAATCTTGTAAAGTATCTAAGGACAAGTGTAAAACATTAAAGAAACCAACTCAAATCGTCCAGATCTATACAGATCTAAGATATATGGAAGAAATTTAGGGTTCAGAAGAAACCCATATAGAGATGAAAGAAACCTGCTTAGAAAACCCAAGGATCGTTGCAAATACAACGTGATTTTGCTTGAAATCACACTAGAGTAGCAAAACAGGCAATGTGACGAACCCTAGATGCAAGTCGGCATGGCCCTGGACCCTTGAAGACCTTAGAGAAGGCAGGATTGGCATGAGAGAAGCCATTGGAGGCTTAGGGAACGATGAGAGCCCGGAGATGACTCCGAGAGAGCCGCCGCGCGCCCTTGAAGAGGCTAGGGTTAGGTTGAGAGTGTACTGAGAGAGGAGAGGATATTAGGGCGGCGGATGTAGGAAAATGATTAGGGTTGGGAGTGGTTTAGATTCAAAAAAGGCAAGAAACGATACGGGTCGTTGATCTTTCAGATCAACGGCCAGGATCTGATGGGTTTTGGGTCGGGTAGGATGTGTTTGGGGCCTGGGTCGGGTAATTCGATTAGGAAGTGGGCTGGGGTTGGGTTAAAATTGAGGCTAAAATTGAAATGCAATCTGGCTAGGTTTTAAATAACCAATTTAACCCTATATAATTTATAATAAATAATAAATGATTTCTAAAAATAATTTTGTGTACTAAAAAGATCTAAAACAGATATTTAACATTTTAAAAATATAGAAGCTCATTTTATGCATATAAAATGTAATTGTACATTAATAAGGATAATATCGCAATTATATGCAAATTAACTTTTAAAACGCAAAATTGCAATTATAAAAAAGCACTAAAAATATTTTAACAATATTTTGGCATAAATATAGAATTTAGATGACTGAATTACCACAACAATAATTTGAGGGATAATTATTGGGGATTTTATGAGAAACAGGGGAAGGAAATAAATCAATTTAAAATCTCTAAAAATATAGAAAAATTATAAAAACCTTGTGCATGCTTATATATGCATATATATGCTATTTTGAAAGTATTTATGCATATTAAAAATATATAGGGAAAAATTGGGTATCAACACGTACGCTAGACGAGATTGTTAGTGCCGTACGGAAAAACCAATGTCAAGAGCAATTGAGAGAACAGAAATGAGAATTGAGAATGAAAGAAAGCTTGATTGTATTAATGAAAGCTATTACAGAAAAGCAACACGGTGTCGAGGGGGAGAGACACCAGTACAGAGAATTGTTTACTTGCTAGAAAGTTTGATTGCTTGATCCGCCCTAATAGTGCTTAAAAAAACCAAAGTTACAGTAGTATACCTAACAAAGCTAGAGGAACATAATGGAAGTACATGAAATAAAACTACTCTATTTACAATGAAATGGACTTAGTTTTCTACAAGGTAGAAACAGGTCCGTTGTCATCAACCCCCCCCCCCCCCCCATTGTATCATAACAAAATCCCATGTCAAAAGAGCCACCACGTCTGTGGAGGAAGGTATGCCCCCAGCTATGAAGAAGCTCCTCGAAGCGTGGCTAACTGACACACTAACAAGTGCCCTCAACAAGCCCGCTCCAGGCACGACTGTAGAAACCGTAAGGACTTGCATGACACACCAAATAGACGAGCAATGCAACCCACCCCCCTTTAATGACAGGTATTACTCACAATGTCATTGACAGTGTAGGTAGAAACACCCTCGCGGCTATCCTATAAAGGATGGAAGAAATGGAGAATGAAAACAAGGCGCTTCGAGATCAAATGAAAGAACACCAAGAAAGGCTCGATAAAATACTGGGCGCTCCTAAACTCTTGCCGAAGAGGGACGCCGGCCGGTTCGTCGAGCAACCACAGAGTGATGATGCAGCACCACATGTCATACCAAAAACCTTCAAAATGCCGCCCTACCTCAGGATATACAACGGCACGACCGACCCTAAAGATCATGTGCATTACATCACCGCCATAAAAGGAAATGACCTCGCCAAAGAATAGGTGTCTTCTATTTCGCTAAAGAAGTTCAGCGAAACCTTCGCAGGAGAGGCGTTAACATGGTACTCGTAGCTACCACCACGCTCCATAGAAACTTTTAAAGAAATGGATGACAAGTTCGTAAGCCCTACGCCGAAGCCAAATAGGCCGAGGCGAGAGTGAACGACATATTTGCCATTAAACAATCTCTGGGAGAGGGACTGAGGGACTTCCTCGCCCGGTTCAACCGGCTAAGGATGAGTCTGGCAAACGTATCCGAAGGGATGGCGGTCGCAGCTTTTCAGCTGAATAGAGATGGTTCAAGAGCAACTAGAAAATTGTTGAGTCAGTTGATAAAGTATCCCCCAACCACTTGGGATGAGATCCACAATGCTTATTGTGCCGAGGTCCGAGCAGAAGAGGACGACCTCAATGGACCAACTCACTTGACTAACCTCGGTACAAGCTGAATCCAGAAAAGATCGAAGAAGGGATCACCCAATTCCGCAACCTAATAGGGAATGACATCAACTGTATCTCTGAACGGCAGTTGCGCCCTCCCCCCGCTATGAAGAAGGCCCGTCCAGACCAAGGATAGGAACTCATCGGAACGAAAGAGGTATGCCTCCCATATTATCTACTCACAATTTTTGTATGTCACCAGCAGAGATAGTCTACGCCCTGGAGAAGCTCAGACCAAAAGTGAAGTGGCCGCCAAAGATGAGATCGGACCCAAAGACCAGAGAGTACGATGCCCTCTGTAAGTTCCACCAGGAACGACGACACAAAACTGAAAATTACATCGCCCTGAAGCAAAAAGTTGTGAATATGTTGCGACAAGGGCACGTTAAGAGCTGCAAAGAGATAGGGGAGGAACCAATTTCGCCAAAGGAAGCGAACACCAAGGACGGCCTAAGCCACCCTCACCAGCTCGTACCATCAACATGATCATCGGCAGTAGTGATGACGCCTCTATCAACAGCATGAAGTTCACCACTACCCACAAACTAAATTGAGCTATCACCCGCGAATGGTACGACGAACTCGTAGAAAGTATCATCTTCGACAAGTCGGACGTCGACTGTTTGCCTAATCTCATAATGATGCCCTCGTTATTACTTTACGAATTTTAGATATCGATGTTAAATGCATTATGGTAGATGACAGGAACGACGCGTGCATTATCCATCCCCGAGTGCTTACCCAAATGAAACTCAAGGATAAGATAGTACTGCGCTGCATTACGCTAACTGTTTTTAGCAATGCAGTTGAGCGTACATCAGGGGAAATTACACTCCCTGTTTTGGCCGGTGGCGTAAATCTGGAAACAAAATTCCACATCATGGACCAAGACATCGCGTACAATGCTATAGTGGGACGACCGTGGATACATCCCATGAAAGTCGTCCCCTCCAGCTTATACCAAGTCATCAAATTCCCAACTTCATGGGGAATATTCAGCATACTAGGAGAACAACGTACATCCCGGGAGTGCTACCGCATTGCCTTAGACAACACAACCACCCAACAAAGAAAGGACAAAGAAAAAGAGGCTTTGCAATCAGCAGGGTCGAGGTTGGAGCATGACGAGACTGGGGATGGCATCAAAGACCCCGACATAGTCGAAGTTTCATGATCGACCATAGAAGACCTCTACCTCGTTCAATTGATCCACAACGACCATAGCAAGAAAGCCTATATCGGTTGCAAACTTCGGGAACCAGGTAAATTCAGTCAATTCCTAACAGCTAATGCAGATTTGTTTGCTTTCAGCCATGCAGATATGCCAGGAATCCCAAAGGAAACCGCCACGCACAAATTAAACATTGACCCGTTCCACCCCCTAATGAGGCGGTTCAGGCATAAATTCAACTCTTCCATTAATGATGCAGTGTGCGATGAAGTGGAAAAACTGTTAGAAAATGGTTCCATCATGGAATCGAAGTACCCTAAGTGGATCACCAACATGGTCATGGTTAAAAAGAAGAATCGGAAATGGCGGATGTGCATAGATTTTATAGATTTGGACAAAGCATGCCCAAAGAATTCGTTCCCGTTGCCTCGCATCGACGAACTCATCGAAGCAATGGCCGGGCATGAGCTACTAAGTTTCTTGGAAGCTTACTAAGTTTCTTGGACGCTTACTCATGCTATAATCAGATCCTCATGGAAGAAGAAGATCAGGAAAAGACCACGTTCATAACCCACCAAGGAAAGTATTGCCACAGGGTCATGCCTTTTGGACTAAAGAACGCAAGATCGACTTATCAAAGGCTAGTGAAAAAGATGTTCAAGGATCAGCTCGGTAAAACAATGGAAGTGTATATAGATTACATGCTAGTCAAGTTCAAAAAGGGAGAGGATCACATCGATCATCTGAAAGAGACTTTCGACATACTCAGGTGGTATGGAATGAAGCTGAACCAGGAGAAATATGTGTTCGGCGTAGCCTCAGGAAAATTCCTGGGTTCCTGGAATCACATCGAGGGATTGAGGTCAACCCAGACCAAATCAAAACCATCGAGGGGATACCAGAACTCTTGACCACCAAAAAATAGGTCCAAAAGTTGAGTGGCCGCATCGCCGCCCTATCAAGGTTCATCTCGCGGTCATCGGATAGGTGCCATAAATTCTTTGGCGTACTTAAGAAAGACAACGGCCTTGAATGGGCTTCCACATCCAACCCCTGCGAGAACTGAAGGCATACCTCTCGTCTTCGCCCTTGCTTTCAAAACTAGAGCTGGGGGAGCGTCTCCTCATTTACCTAGCCGTATCCGAGGTAGCTGTAAGGGCAATCTTAATTTGAGAAAACAAAGGTACGCAATCTCCCATATACTACATTAGCAAAACACTAGTCGATGCCGAGATGAGGTACCTGCACCTCAAGAAATTGGCTTTGGCCTTAGTCACAAAAGCTTAGACCATACTTCCAATGCCACCCCGTCTCGGTCGTCACAACTTTCCCCCTAAGAAGCATTTTACATAAGGCCGAGTTATCGAGAAGGCTGGCCAAATGAGCCATCGAGCTAACTGAGCATGATATCACCTACCAGTCACGAACGACGATAAAGTCACAAGTGCTCGCATACTTCATCGCCGACTTCAGCGCAAAAATAATTCCCGAAGTTGAAAGGAAGGCAGTCCAAACTTCCCTCCAAACACAAGACTTCTAGGTCCTATACACCGATGGGCTTCAAACGCATCGGGGTCCGGGCTAGGACTTGTACTCGAAGTCCCAACAGGTGAAGTGGTTTGCTAGTCCATAAGATGCTCGGATATGACTAACAACGAGGACGAGTATGAGGGCGTAATTGCAGTATAAGACTAGCACACAAATATGAGGCAAAACGATTGAAACTACGCTGTGATTCACAACTCATAGTCAATCAAGTCACAAGGACTTTCAAAATCAAGGAACAAAGATTGAAAGAATACCAGACCGAAAACTGCAAGCTACTGCCTAAGTTCGATGAATGCCAGCTCGACCAAATCCCATGGGCACAAAATGCCGAGGCAGATGACCTTGCCAAGCTAGCCACAGCTACCAAAAGCATCATGATCAGAGACAAAAACGTGGTCTACCTCATCAACTCGTCACTAGACCAAGTCGAGGTAAGAACCATAATCTTAACTTGGGACTAGAGCAATCGCATTACCGCATACTTGCAGGACAGCACACTCCCTGGCGATAAAAAAGAGTCCAAGAAACTAAGGATACAAGCGGCTAGAAATAAATTCCTCCACAACGATCTATACAAGAGAATATATGGCGGCCCTTTGGTAAAGTGTCTGGGACCAAATTAAACTCTATGCATCCTCAAAGAAGTCCACGAGGTTCATTGTGGGGCTCATTCCAGCAATCGAGTACTGGTCAGATGCCTCATACGAGCGGGATACTACTAGCCCACTACAAAAAATGATGGCGCAGACTTCGTGAAGAGATACGAGCAGTGCCAAAAATACGCCCCAATGATCCACCAAGCCGGCGAAGATCTCCACTCGGTCACCTTACCTTGGCCGTTCATCAAATAGGGCATGGACATCGTGGCCCCCTCCTAGCGGGGCGAGGTAACATCCGATTCCTTTTGATTTAAACTGACTATTTCTCTAAGTGGGTGGAAGCAGGAGCATTCGCCCAGATATGGAAACAAGAGGTGATCACCTTTATATGGAGAAACATCATATACTGGCTTGGCCTACCCAAGGAAATCAGCTGTGACAACGGACCCCAATTCACAGGAAAGAAAATCGTCAAATTGTTCGAAAAATGGCATATCAAGAGGATACTCTTGACCCCGTATCACCCGGCAAGCAACGGAAAAGAAGAATCCTCCAACAAGTCGATAAGGGACTGTGGCCTAAAATATTACCATAGGTACTGTGGGCCTATCGAACCACTCCAAAGACGATCACGGGAGAGACTCCCTACTCTTTTATCTATGGGACCGAGGCAGTAATATCGGTCGATGTCGAAGAACCCAGCGTAAGGTACTCCCATGAGAGCGGCACAAGTAACGACCCAAGCAGGAGACAGAAACTCGACGAGATGGACGAAAAAAAAGATATGGCTTACATAAGAATGGTCGCCCAAAAACAACAAGCAGAACGCTATTACAACAAGAAAGCAAGGGTCAGGCCGCTTAAAGTCGGGGACTACGTACTAAAAGCCAAAACTCCAGATCTCAAGGATCCCAGAGAAGGCAAGTTGGGAACAAACTGGGACGGACCGTACAAAATCAAAGCAAAAACAAATAAGGGTTCATTCAAACTATAAACAATGGAAGGAAAGCTACTCCCAAACAACTAGAATATCAGCCACCTCAAATACTTCAACTTCTGAGTGAAAAAGCGTCCGCCAAGTGGTACTCTTATTTCCTCACTTGAGTTTTGTCCCAATTGGGTTTTCTTGAGGTTTTTAACAAGGCAATAAAGGGAACGCTTCGAGTTGAAGTATGCAAAGGCAGGGTCGTGGTCACTATTTCATTGCTCGACCTTTCAATAGTCAATACTCTCTAGGTCAACCAATGAAGGGACTAGATAGACTGGGATTGGGATTGGAACGCCAGCCAACACCCAAAAATCTATAAATTTCTCCAAGTATGTAACCTAAGCAAAAATGTCAAAGCAATAAGAAATCTATGCTTATCAGCGCGTCCTCTCCATGTTAAGTTTAAGTTGGACCCCGTTCGAACAAACACCTATCGGCCCTCGACCGCCTAACGAAAGGTTACGTTCGACCCCGCTCAAATAAACACCTATCGGCCCTCGGCCACAATATTAACAAAAGGTTACGTACGACCTCGTTCGAACAAACACCTATCGGCCCTCGGCCGCAATACTTACGAAAGGTTGCATTCGATCCCGTTCAAACAAACACCTATCGGCCCTCGCCCGCAATATTAACGAAAGCTTACGTTCGATCCCGTTGGAACAAACACCTATCAGCACTCGGCCACAATACTTACGAAAGGTTGCATTCGACCCCATTCGAACAAAACACCTATCGGCCCTCGACAGCAATACTAACGAAAGGATGCGTTCGAAACCGTTCGAACAAACACCTATCCGCCCTTGGACGCACTCACCACAAAAAATAGAAAAAAAACCAACGAGGGAAAGAGTGAAACAGGCAAACAATAGAAGCAAAGACATACAAGCACAGAGAGTAAATCACGGGAAGGGAAGGAGATGCAGAAAACATGTTTGACATTTCATACTTGAACATTTTTACAAAGTGTTATGCCCCACAATATTACGTCGATATTACGTGCCGCAGTATTATATTACGATGAAGTTACGCCTTGCAGTACTACATTACGATGATGTTACGCTTTGCAGTATTAAATTACGACGATGTTGCACCCTGTAGTATTGTACGTTGAATTTGTCGTAAGGTAATTGATATCAGTCCAAGGAAAAGATTATTTGGAGATTATAAGGATTATGCTATTTCAAACAAGTGATGAGTAAATTCGTGAAGGTGAGAGGGGAAGCAAGTCAAAGAAAATGAATTTTCGTCCAAGTTTTGCATGTTGGGATAAAATTCGTGCCGAGCGTTAATACTCGGTATTTATGGACTAGTACCATACAAGGTACCACATGGCCATGATAGTAAGATGTATAAGGTATGTTAAAAGTGGATAATATTTTAAGTAATTTGAGATAGTTCTTAATTATGTGGGTAATTGGTAAATTATTAGTTAGTGGGAGATTAATTAAAATTTTGATAATTAAAGATTTTAGATAACTTAGCCCTCCCAAAAATGTGGCAGCATCCTCCATGATTTTTAAAGTGATACTAAGTCTTACATAGGTGGAAAATTTAGGGAATTAAAAGGCTTACTCATCTAATAAGTGGGCCACACCCACTATGAGAACTTTCCTACAACTAGTGCTATGTCTTACTTCCTAATAACAAAAGATCAAAAATTAAAGAGATGAGTTTTGAGGGGCTGGTCGAAATTTAATCCCTCAAATAGCAAATATCCCATATCAAATATTACAATACAAAATGACATATGCATTGAGATCAAAAGGTGTATGCCTAGATATCAGATGAGATGAAAAAGGCCAAAATATGGGATTGGAAGATTGATTTTACAATCAATGGGCGTGGGAATAAGGGTCAGTTCTGTGTTTGTGTTTGTTGTGTTTCTTTGTGTTTGAGCAGCCACTAGCTCAGAAGGGAATCTGAAGCTTCATTTGGGTGAAGATACGAATGAAGATTTGTCCAAATTAAACACTGTACTTAGAGGTTGAATGCTATTTAAAGGAGTACGATGCAATCTTTTCCAAGAATATCATACGGATTTTTCCAAGAACGACCCCTCGGAGCTGAGTGCGTGCAAGGACGAGACAAAGAAATGGAAGAAATGATGGCCCAGGTGCGCGAGCAGATGCGCGAGCTCATGCGCGAAGTCGCGCGTGTTAGGGAGCTGAGGCAGAATGATGCGCGAAGTTATGCGCGAAGTCACGCGCGAGCTCGCGCGTTTCCCAGTCCGGAAAAGAGTTATTCAGGGGCAAAATTGGAAATCTGGAGAGAAATCCACTTAACCTATATAAAGTCAAGCTCACCCAAGGTTAATTTATCAAGTTTTTCATAGGCTAGTGCAAGGTATCAAGAGGCAA